GGGGGGCCTAGTGGAGCTCATGGCCAGAGTACCTAGCAGATTTTCAAAGACCTTGTGACTTATGCTTACTTACTTGGCAATGATGTTCCTGCAAGGAGCATGAGACCTTTTCTTCCACAGAGCAGTTTAGGATCACCAGTGTTACGGAGGCTCCAATCAGCTTGCACAGGTAAGCCAACTAGAGTTTGCTGATGCATAGCTAGAAGAAGGGTGAGCATGAGGCCGGGGGCTCTGCATTCCAGATCTGTGCTCAGAGACTCTCCCTGAGCCACGTTCAGAGCTGCTGGCTGCTGAGACACCCCATTTGGCGAAGCGGGCCTTTGTTTGAGATCACACTGGGAGTGAAAGCAGGTTATCATCGCTATAGCCAGTGGTCTGACAGAACAAACGGAAGAGCTCGGTGAGGTGAGGAGAGGTGAGAGAGGTGAAGAAAAGATTAGCGAGGCTCAAATGGGATAATTGGAAAAAGCAGGGGCAGGCAGTAAATTATGCCTCTTTTACTTGGCTTAGTTATCATATCACCTGAATGGGTGAAATAGGTCAGCAACCCATGGATGAAAAGCAAACTCAGGAAGGGTCACGGAGGTGAGCTAAGAACTGAGCTCCGAGGACACTGTCAGGAGCTCATGGAAATGGTGTTGCTGGATTTTCATGCTTAGAAAGAGAAACAGGAAAGAATAAGTCAACAGCGTCTTCCGTGATTATCTGGAGGTCTTTTTTGTATTATTAGAACCTAGACCTGTCAGTAGGAAACAGGTTGAAAAGTTTCACAAATGAAGAGGCAAACAAAGCAAGGGAGTGATAATTGTTTTGTTTTTTTACGAGATAGAGTCTTGTGTGGTTGCCCAGGCTGGAGTGCAGTGGTACAATCACTGCTCACTGCAGCCTCAAACTCTGGCAATTCTTCTGCCTCAGCCTCCTGAGCAGCTGGGGCTAGAGGCATGCACCACCAAGCCCAGCTAATTTTCAAAATCCTTTTTAGAGATGGGGTCTCACCATGTTGTCCAGGCTGGTCTTGAACTTCTGGCTTCCAGTGATCATTCCTCCTCAGCCTCCTGAGTTGCTGGGATGACAGGTGCCTGCCACCATGCCTGGAAGGAAGTGGTGGTGAATGTGGGTTCTGGACTGCTTACTTTTGCCTCCCACCCCAACCTGCAACCTTGTTCTGTGACCTTAGGAAGTTACTTTGCCTCTCTGTGCCTTGGTTTCCTCATGGGTGACAGGGAAATAATTTTACCTGGACCTTCATATATATAAAGCTCTTAGTTCCTAGCAGTTAGAACACATTCAAAAAGGCTAGCGGAGAAACACTTGAGAGCATGATTTCAATCTCCTTGAGGTCATTTTGGACATTTGCAAGGACTTCTTATGGTTGTTACAAGGATAGCGGTTCTACTATCATTTAGTAGGTGGAGGCCAACAAAATGACTTATCCTGTATCCCACATGACTTTCAAGTGTTTTATTACACATCCTGATAGGTGAAAAACTTAATGTTATTGGAACTTAAAATCTAATTCGGTTTTTAAAAATTTCATGAGTTCTTTTCGCATTGTTTTAACATTCACTGAATTTTGCACGATCATACCCATCAAGAAGATTATACTCTACTTTGTTTAGAATGCTGTCAGGAGTCGTTCCCCATTTTAGAAAATCACCTCACCAATGACAAAAACAATGACCTGTTGGAGCTGCGTTTGTAACTATTATGTTCCCAGGGCCTGTATGCATCTGTGAGGCCTCGTGACTTGATGGTAGCCATGCCTGGGCATATATATATATATATATACACACATTATTTTATTATAAATAATGCTGTGTCTCTTTTTATCAGTTAGAACATTTGTTGATTTCTTTTTGAAATGTGTGAGGATGAGTTATGCATATTAATTTTATTGAGGGTATTAAAAGGCCAGTATAAAACAGTTGTTTTAAAAAGGAGCTGTTTAGCTCTGATAGATTTTTGGAGCTAAGCTCAGCATAATCATAATGGGTATAGTTCCCAACAGTTGGTCCCTGAGTCAAGGAAATCAGAACCCAAAGAAAGGGTGTTTCACTTGCTCTCAATTTGCCTCTGTTTTTGTTTGTTTGTTTGTTTTCCTTTTTGAGACAGTCTTGCTCTGTCACCCAAGCTAGAGTACAGTGGCATGATGTTGGCTTACTGCAACTTCTGCCTGCTGGGTTCAAACATTTTTCCTGCCTCAGCATCCCGAGTAGCTGGGATTAGAGGTGCCTGCCACTGTGCTCGGCTAATTTTTACATTTTAGTAGAGATGGGGTTTCACCTTGGCCAGGCTGGTCTTGAACTCTTGACCTCAGGTGATCTGCCTGCCTCAGCCTCCCAAAGTGCTGGGATTACAGGTGTGAGCCATGGTGCCTGGCCACCTCCATTTTCTTTTAACTGGGTATCGAAATGCTTATCTGGTGGTCAGAGCATTTTGGTATATTGCTTGTACCTTCCATTAAAAGAAAAACTTCAGCTGCACTAAAATTAGAAAAGTTTAATTGAACAATGAACAGTTTGTGAATCAGGCAGCCTCCTGAGCCACTGTAGGCTCAGAGACTCTAGTGCAGCCACGTGGTAGAAGATTTATGGACAGAAAAGGGAAAGTGACTTACAGAAAATGGAAGTGAGGTCCAGAAAGATGAATTGGTTATAGCTCAGCGTTTGCCTTATTTGAACACAGGGTAAACGTTTGACCACATCTGATTGATCAAAACTTGGCAACTGGCACAAGAGTAGACTACAGGTTTTTTACACTTCCATTTAGGCTATAGTTCACAATGTACAGAGAAATCTTTAGGTTTCGGCTAAGCTTGATTGACCACTATGCTCAATGATCTTGAAGTCTAGTTCGTGGATTAAGATGTGGCCATCTGTTCAGTCTCTGGAGCACACTTAACTTCAAGAGGAAAGACCATCTTTTGTGCATGTGAACTCTACTTTCTCCCACTGTGGGAGATAGATCACACCAGAAGAGCCTCTTTTCCAGGGCTTTGTGGAAAGACTGAGGCAGCCAGGGCTGGAGGACCTACTTTGGCAAAGGTGCCCTCTGCTCTGTCAAGGACTGTCTCCCCAGCTGAACCATGCTGGGTAAGCCTGGTACAATTAATTCTGAGGCCCAATCTTTGATTTGATGGCTCTTAAGTTCTGTTGTTTGGGGAGGGAGAGCATCTATTTACTCCTTGACATGGGGAAAGAGGAAAATGGAGCAGTTGCAGAAAAACTTTGTGGGTAAGAATGTCATACCTAGAAGATGATTGTGTTGCCTGATAGCCATGGGGAAGATGGCAAGTAGAGTCAGCTTTGTTGGGGGTGTGAGTCAGCTTGGGCTGCTGTAACAAAAATACCATAGACTGGGTGGCTTATAAACAACAGAAATTTATTTCTCACAGGTCTGGAGGCTGGCAGTAGCAGATCAGAGTGCTAGCATGGTCAGGTTCTGGTGAAGGCCCTTTTCTGTGTTGGTAGCTAAAAAGAGGGCTAAGAGCTCTCTGGGGTCCCCTTTATATAAGGGCACCCTAGAGAGTGGGGTGCTTACACCTTCATTACCTAATTATCTCCCAAAGGCTCCATTTCCTAATGCCATCACACTGGGGATTAGGAAGGACCTCAACATTAAATCTGAGAGGGCACGATTAGTCTCTAACATGGGGATAGAGCCTGAGTTCAGTTTCTTTCTATTAATGCATTAGAATATATTAGTGGTAAAGGTGTTACAGTCTAGACTGACAAAATCAAGAGAAAAATCAAGAGCCATTAAATCTTTCAGCATTCAATCTGGGCTACGGGCGATGGCTTATGCCTATAATTCTAGCACTTTGGGAGGCCGAGGTGGGTGGGTCACCTGAGGTTGGGAGTTCGAGACCAGCTGGCCGACATGGAGAAACCCTGTCTCTACTAAAAACACAAAGTTAGCTGGACGTGGTGGTGCATGCCTATAATCCCAGCTACTCGGCAGGTTGAGGCAGGAGAATTGCTTGAACCTGGGAGGTGGAGGCTGTGGTGAGCCGATATTGCACCCTTGCACTCAGCCTAAGCAACAAAACAAAACTCCATCTCAAAAAAAAAAAAAGATTTAATCTGCAATTAAGCTGTATTCAGAAATGTGCTGGTTCCCAAAGATCGTTTTCCTGTGTCTAGGTACTATAGAAAATAAAGAGGGAGGAAGGGAGAAAGGGAAAAAGTAAGGGAGGGAGGAAATCTTTGAGAAAAACTATTAATTAGGATTGAGGAAATCTATAAAGTCTCTGCCTGGGGCTGGTTTTATTTTCAAAGTTGTCCATAGCAATTGCTCATCCTACAAGCTCTTCTGCAAAGAGGTGGAAGCTCCTTCCCTTCCCTCTTGAATTGGGCCTATCATGAGAGCAAAACACCACCTTCTGCTTGAAAAGAGAAAAGGATAGAATATTGAATATTTCTATGGCGAGAAAGAAGGTTATTTGATACCAAACCCAGACCACACCCACTAGAGCTGGAGTTCACCTTACAGAAATGGATCTAAGACCAAGTCAAATCAGTAAAGACACTGGCGAGTCGGTGGAAGCCACAGTAAGCTAAAGGTAGCACTGGATGGGAGCCAAAGGGGCGGGTTGACCGAGGCTGGAGATTTGACCAGAGCGAAGCCTTCAGGAGAAAGGCTGGTATCCCACAAGGTTGTGTCAGTGTGGCCAGCATAGTCGTCAGTGGCTTGAGACCTTTGAACCTGGGCTAGGGATGGATGGGTGAAGGGACCTGAAGAAACCGCAGAGATAGGAGTGAGACCAGCTTTGCGGGGTTACTGGCAGTGTACGTTCTGGCCCTGTTTCCCTCGGATCTGTTTCTTGCCCTTTCTCTACCCTGTTCTAAATCAAAGGGGTCTGACCCTTGTAGACTGCTTTTCTAAGATTGGAGGATGATAGGCGCTGACCGGCTGGAGGTGGAGGCAGAGAGGGAGAAACGAGGCCTTCTTCCCCTCCTTCTCAGCTGCACACCTCTCCCACTCTGTGTGTTGCCACACAGGTACACTATGGTTCCAGCCTTCACCTGGTGACACTGAGACTCTGCGAGGCATCATGAGCTCTGGGAACCTCCTCCTCCCTTTCCTCTGCCCTGCGGCTGTGTCAGCTTCCTGTCTTTGCAGTCTGGATTCCTCACCACCCTCTGGCTGGCCTCTCAGCATCTCCATCCCTTGTGTAATTGATCCCTGCATCAAAGTCCTGTTTGGAATTCTCTGGTGGTTTCTGTTTCCTGGTTAGATCCTGACTGATACACTGGCCTCGGCAGCTGGTCAGCTCCGATTCCTGGAAGAGAGCTGCTAAGGACCGGTCTGGGGACACCTTGCTTAGAGAGGTCTGTGGGGAAACAAGCCGACTTCAGGACAGCTGAGTGTGTGGCTTACTGGACTCCATCCTCTCCAGAACTACATAAGCTGTTATCTTAATGGAGGGACTTTAATGGAGGAATTGATTTGGGGTGGGGTGAAGAATTCACTAAAACAGAAGCATCAATGACACCAGAGAGCAGAGAAAGCTCAAGTCCACTTAGTTTAGAAATAACCAAGTGTTCTGGTGGGAGCTCATGCATCACTGAATTACTGTGGCATTCTCGAGCCCCATATAATGTTTGTACCTTGTGTCTGGTTCAAATAGAACAGAAAATAATGGAGCGAGTGCCTCTAATTTAATATTCTTATATTTCCACCACATCAAATTCCCACTAGGACAAATGTATACAAATGAATCATTATAATTTTTCCCCCTTTTACCCTAGCTGAGCCACTTGGGCCTCTGCTAAGAAATGATGATAAAAGTGATGAAAACAAAGCATCACATTATAATGTCATTTTAAAAAATAAAAGATTTCCAGGAGATCCTTTGTTGTGTTGGAAGAACACAAGCTGCATGTTTAAATGACTTTTTTTCCTCTTGGATAATCAGAGAGTAATGTAACCAAAATAATCTTCGACTGCTGCTGAGGTCATCATTTACTTCCTGCTGACACGTTGAGCTGGTCAGAGAGCACAGGCTCTCAAAGGGAGTATAGTCCTGGAGACACCAGAGGAGGTGTCATTCAGACTGCTGGTGCTTCCCTCAGAGACAACAGGGGCATCAGGTTTGAATCTGGTTGTTCAAGCTCCCATCCCAATACTGGAGACACAGATGAGGAGCTCACCTGTATCCCAGGCATTGTAGGTGACAGTGGGGGAGAGAAATGCCAACTGGGACTATGTCTTTGGGGGATGCAATTTTTTATACTGTGTAATGAACCTGCAATAGGGAAGAACATTTCACTGTGGGTTTTACTGCACTAGACAATTCTGACAGGTATATGGATACTCATTCCAACTCACAGTCATAAGATAAAGACAGTCGTGGGGAAGCTGCCTGGCTTCCAGTGAAATATTTTGGGGAAGAGGATTCAGCATCAAAAGTTGAGAACGGAGAACAGTTCTAGGTCATTTGCTTATTTGTTTTATTCCCTTCACTAGACACAGGGCTGCAAGCACACATGATGGGATCGTTTAGAAATGTGGCCCACACATTCTTTGGCACTCCTCCCATTAAAATGAGGGACTCCCATCTCCTGCTCTTGAATCTGGGGAGAGGGTGGGGGAAGCTTGTGAGTGTTTTGACAACCAATAGCGTTCAGTGAAAGTGACAAAATGGACTTCTGGGGCTGGATCACAAAAGGCCATGTAGCTTTCACCTTACTAACTGAAATACTCTTTCATAGAGCCCTAAGCTGACATGTAAGGCATCTGACTACCGTGAAGCCAATACATTGGAAAGGTCACATGGAGGAGCTCCAGCTGACAGTCTCAGCAGAGCCCAGTTTCAAGCCATCCCTGCAAGGTATCAGCCATATAAATGAATCAGCCTAGCTGCCAGTCAAGTATCTTTGCACAGCTTCCATCAATGCCTCATGAAATGGAAGATTGACTAGCCAAGCCTTTCCTAAATTCCTGACCCACAAAATATAAATATAATAAAATGGTTGTTATTTTAAGCCACTAAGCATTGGAATGATTTATTATGGTTATGCAGCAACGGCTAACTAGAATACATTCCTAAGTAGACAAGTTCCTAGTCTATTCACAAAAGTACTTTTCTTCTTTTCTTTTTCTTTTTTTTTTTAAGACAGAGTCTCGCTTTGTCACCCAGGCTGGAGTGCAGTGGCACCATCATAGCTCACTGTAAACTTCACCTCCTGGGCACAAGTAAGTATCCCACCTTAGCCTCCCCCAGGTAGCTAGGACTACAGGTGCATAACCACCACAACTGGCTAATTTTTAATTTTTTTTTTTTTTTTTTTTTTTTAGAGATAGGGTCTTGCTAGCTTGCCCAGGCTGGTCTCCAACTCCTGGCCTCAACTAATCCTCCTGTCTCGGTCTCCCAAAGTTCTGGGATTACAGGCATGAGCCACCATGCGCAGACTAGTCACAAATGTATCTTAATAAGTAGAGTTCACTATTTAGTAAGCTTCAATGTCAAATAGCCATCAGCATTTTTATTGAGTGCCTGCTGCAAGCACCTTTGCTATGGGGATACAAGGTATAAAGTTTAGTTTCTGACCTAAAGGAAATGATAAAATAATTATGGGATACCATTTATTGAAGGATTACTATGATTAGGCTAATGATTCTCAAAGTACGGTACCTAAACAATCACATCAGTGTCAACTTGGAATTTGTTGGGGTTATTTATTTTTAATTTATTACTATTTTTTTAGAGGCAGGGTCTTACTCTGTCACCCAGGCTAGAATGCAGTGGCATAGTCATTGCTCACTGCAGCCTCAACCTTCCAGGCTCAAGGGATCTTTCCACCTTAGCCGCCTTAGTAGCTGGGACTACAGGCATGTGCCACCATGCCTGGCTAATTTTCTAATTTTTTTTTCTAGAGATGGAAGGTTCTCACTATGTTGTCCAGGCTGGTCTTGGGATTAGATAGTTTGAATAATTTTAGTGGGCTCTGAGGCATAGGATCTACCCCTAGTTGCCTGCTGCCTGGCCCTGGCAGTGACTGGGACACAGGACTAGTGACCCAAATGTGAGAGCCCAGAGAAAGGAGGCAATGGCTAGGTATGAGCTTTAGATTGGTTGGTTTGGTTAGAAAGGCACATCCACAGACTAGTTGGTTACTGTCTCTAGGAATTGGCTAGTTTTGGGAGCGGCAATCTCTCCAGGGTCAGCAAGGTCCCAGATATCAAATATTTAGAATAAAAAGACCTAATATAGGTAGATACAATTACCTGATATTTCAGATGGCAAAGCTGAAATCTTGAGACATAACCTGCTGTAGTCATATCTTCACCAAGGAGAGGGCCTAGATTTAAACCTGAGTCTGCTGGGCCCCCCAAACCATGCTCTTACCAATGTGCTATCCTGCTCTTCATCTGGCTAATTAAACATATATGTGGGCGTCTATAATTGTATAAAAAGATAATTTACAGAGCAAATGAGGATGCTGAGTAATTTCTACAGAAACTAATTGCATGAAGCAATGAGAAGGAGGAGAGATTGCTTGTAGTGGTCAAAGAAGGCTTGTGGAAAAGAGTCATTCAGACTGCTGGTGCTCCCACTCAGAGACGACGGATGATGGGCATTGTGTTTGCTGGGTGGGTCTTGAAAGTTGGACAGAATAGATCTGGGCAAAACTGGAGAGAAAGGACATTCTGAAAAGATGGGAAATGATGTTATCACAAGGCTCAAAGGCAGTAGTGTGCAAAGTCTGATGAAAACACCAAATGTTAATAGGCTGCTTTGGTTACTTGAAAGTACATTAGGCAGGGAAAGAAGGCGGGTGCAGCTGGATGCCACTCACTTTAATACTCTAAATTCATCAGAAGCAATGCATGGATGTGCAAAAGGTTTGGCATTGTGGTCTCAATATCAAGAAAGTATCTCCATCTAAAAGTAGTGCCATAATCTGAGTGCCTGAGCTGGACAAAATGTAGAGTAGGAATCTAGCTGGGAATTTCTAGTTCAACATTTTGTGAGATAATATGTTAGGCTGGGAATCTGTGACTGACAGGGAGCACACAGACAATGGAATATCTTTCCATGAGAGCTTCAAAGATTTGGCAAGTGAAATTGACAGCCATGGTTTCATTTAGATGTTTCTGAGTGCTCATGCTATGCCAGGCACTGTGCTAGGTGGTAGGGAGTTATACATCATTAGTCATGTTAATCAAACAGGGTCTCTGCAGTGAGGGGCTAGCAAAGTAGTGAGTTCGTAGTCTCTGCACACTAGAGAAAGCAGAGGAGGTGTCTCTGTAGCCCAGCCTTGGAAAGGTGGAATGAATGGACACCTGACCATGCGATGAAATTCCAGAAGGCCTCCACAAGGATCCTGGCAGCACAAGGTCAACCCTCCTATGGCTTAGCTTGCAAGTCTCCCACTTCTGTGTGGGAGTCACACTTGATAACATCTTTTTTTTTTTTTTTTGAAACAGAGTCTTGCTCTGTCACCCAGGCTGAAGTGCAGTGGTGTGATCATGACTCACTGCAGCCTTGACCTCCTGGGCTTCTCCCACCTCAGTCCCCACGAGTAACTGGGACTACAGGTGCTCACCACTATGCCCAGCTACCTTTAAAAATTTTTTTGTGCAGACCACATCTTACTATGTTGCCTAGGCTAGTCCCAAACTCTTACACTCAAGGGATTTTCCCAGTTTGGCCTTCCAAACTGTCGGGATTACAAGTGTGAGCCACTGCGCCCGGCCTGTATCATCACTTTTATACTTTAGTAGGGTCCAGATCATGAAGAGAATTTGATAATGCACATTACTGGGTCCTACCCCTCATCAAAGATGCTGGTTCCCTGAGTGATAAAAGAATACCACCTTGAATCCTTGATAACATCTTTAATACCTTGAGGTATTTGTCCGTTTTGTTCACTGTTATATCCACAGTGTTTGGCCATATTAGGCACTTAGCTTTTTGCTGAATGAAGCATATTGAAACATAGGTGTGGAGGGTGTAGGGGAGAGGAAAAATTAAGTCAAAAAGATGTGTCGACATGAAGAAAGGAGTATTTTCAATACGGGAAGTGGAAAGACATGAAGTGCAAATTTGGCTTTTCCCAAAGGTCTGTTATATTTGGGTGGGAGAGAAGGGGGAGGAGGGGAAGCCTCAAGTCTTCACTGCTGAACTAAAATTATAAGTTGAATGATGTCTCCTAAACCATTGTTCTAAGAAATGTTCTGATTATGGAAAAATATCCATTCAGTGCCTTTCAAATTCCCTTAAGTCCCCTCTTTTCTTACTGTTTCTAACCTTCCGCCACGTTCAGAGAAAACAAACACCCAGCACTTCCGAGGTACAAGAATTCTCCGATGGGCCCGTGTGCTCATTTTTATAGATGTTCACTGTTAATTCAGGCCCCAACAACAGCACAGGAATGCCCCTGCACTCCCACAGCTCCTTCCTGAGGGGATGAGCAGGTCGGCTGGAAAGCAATAGAATACAAAGGGAACAGATCTGGAAATGATGAAAGAGAAAAATCAGGACCCCCTAACCAAGTTAAATAAACATCTGGACTGAAGGGCTGCATAATCAGGTTTTAAAAAATTATTTTCAAAAGGAAGTGATGTTTTACTTAATATTTATGAGACATTTGGCTTTCAACATTTTTCCCCCTAAATTCATATCCTTAGTTTTAATTCACTTCTCTATTTATACATCATCTTTGGAAAGATATTTTTTCCTTTTACACATCTTTTTTTTCTTTCTGATCATTTCTATATTTGGCCTAATTGTCTCCTTTTGTTTCGGACCAGCAGTGTGTGGGCCTCAACAGGTAGGCAGGAAAGCAGCTGGTCTCTTTAAAAGAACCAAGCAGATCACAAAATGTCTGTGAAATGAACATGTCTGCCCAAAGCTTCCCATTCTGATGGAGCTCAGTGCTGAGCTCTGATTTGCTCTGGTTAAAAAAAAAATTCCCCTAATTTCACTGTCAAGATTTTGAGAAGCATTCTCATGGTTTTAAAGAGATTATGGCATAATTTGTTCATGTTTAAAGAATTATATTGTTAAATAAATTTAGCTCTCCAGATTCTAAATGACAAAAACAAGTGAAGTTACATCATTTGAATTATGAAGTGATAATGTCTTCCAATTCTGCCCCAATCAAAAGTGTAACAGTTTAAAGCTTATAATAATCATGTTCAAACATATTCAGATTATAATTACTTTTCTTCTGATAATGATAGCCCGTCTGATTGGATGATTACCTATTTGACTTTGATAAGTCTCAGAGGTCAAAAAAGGGATAATTGCAGACATCTGTTTTCTATGGAAAATATAATCTCAGAAAATAGTGTTTAAAGTGACATCTGCAAATATGTGTTTTAGAAAGAAACTCGTTGTACATTTAAAATCATAGGGAAAAGAAGCAATTCCTAAGCTGCTATGTATCACGCTGTCTTTGTAAATAGACGAACAAGTTTAACTTACTAGTATTCATGTACGCATAGGTAATTACAAGCAGGCATGATTATATTTTGTACAGGTAGAATTAGAAATAGACATAGATTATGAGAAAGGAATTTGAAGGTGTCTACAACTTGGAATGATATGGAAGACTTTCTCTTTACTTTTGTTTGTTTTAGTTCAATCTAGGCATACATAGGTGCAATCATTTTCTGGGTAGTTTTCTTTATGGAAATTGGAGCTGGAAGGTCTTGTTTCTTTGATTTCTCCTTGGAGATGACCTTCTCCAATTATGACGGGGCTTCTGATGAAGGGAAAATGTTCCCTCAAGGCTGCCATGCTTCTCTATGTAGAAGAGGTGCCAGTTTCTTTCTCAGCAGGTGCAGCAGCTTCCCAACCTCTTACAGAGATGCCAAGAACCTCTCCCTCCCTTCAGCCAGCAGCTGTGTTCTGCCGCAAAAAGGGAGAACTGTATTTAATATTCCTTTCCATGTATGGTAAGACTTCTTTGGTTTTAATTAATTAACTCAGAATCTTCTCTAATTCATGCGAGACCTGGGTTATCACTTTTGCCAG